TAACATTAAAAAATCCGCACATAGTAATTTTCTATATTGACCTGAACTATGTTTGATGATCAACCATTGTGACCAACTCCAATATGTGGTGTAATTAATGCCGATCATTTCTTAAAATTGAATACCCGCTATGTTTGTGTACACATTTGTCGATCAAATAACTATTTTTTATTTTTTATAAATGCCAAACAATTGAAGTCAAAGTAATAAAAAAAGAAAGAACAAAGATGACGAGGGAGCTGAACATGGGTAAGTGTTTATCATAAGCATGGTGGTGGTCGCCACTCGTTGTCACTCTAGTTATATTATTATATTAGGAATTCTCATTTTTTAACACAAAAATATAGTATTGAAAGGGTACAGTTTGCGTTTTTTGCAATGAGATCTTTGTCCAAATTTGTGAAGATCTACCACCATCCAATTTGTTGGAACTGGCACAAACGTGTTCAAGATTCCATTTTATCTTAATGGATACATGCGTTGCAACACAACAAATTTGGAAAAAATCAAGATTAGCTTATTTTAAAGGATTGCAACGACCTCCACCACCAATTGGAATGAATTACATTATGTTAGATTCTTCATCGCTTCATCTCAATTCTGCATTGTTTGTGGTGCAATTAAATTTACTGTAATATATTGGCAGTTTTATGCAAGATACTGCAATATATGTCATTATAAATAAACAATTAAGTAATTATATAACATTTAATTTAATTAATTGATTAAATAAACAGATTTATTCATTTATCTACATTTATTTATTTAACAATTTCAGAGAAGGGACTATTAGAGCTAATATTAGATCTTGAAGAAAAGTCTGCTGCTAGTCATGATGAAGAAAGTAAAAAAAGGCTTAATGATCAAATAGAATTCACGTATGAATGTGAGACTCACATAATGTATATGAGGGAATCACGAGGATTTATTGAAAAAATGAATGTACTTGTTGGTAAAATTCTTGAGGAGAGGAAATTAACATTAAATTACAAATTGTATTATATTCAAACTAATTTCATTTCATACAAAAGAGCAATCTCCCATTTTTCTGAGGTTGATGAACAACATCCAGAAGAGTACTGGAAGAGATTAGAAAATCAAATTATCTACGAAGCAGAAAAACCATGTTGAAAGGAGCTTATCTTGAAACACATGTTAAAAAAATGGCCTTGTGTTGGACGCAAGAGACAAATTGCTGAAGCTTCCCTTGATGAGATAGATAATCCTTTTGGATACTCTCAAGTTGATCTCTATTAAGGTTTCTGGCCCAAACTGTTTTCTCAAAGCTCAAACTAGTTTGGGCAATTTGGGCTTCTCAACATTTTTTATGAGCATAAACATTAAAAAACCATATGAATCAACTTGTTTTAACTTCAACAACTTTAAAATAATTTCCACCCAATTTTGGCTACTAATAGAAGCAGTTTCGGCCAGAAACCTTAATCTCTATACAATTCTTCAACATTGTCGCAGCTACAGAGATCTACCAGTATATCAAGGTCGCCTTACACTATTTACTCTGAGAGATACCTTGAAAAGCAGGTAGTACCTACAAAAAGTTTAGATACTTATTTCCTACCTATTTTTTGCAAAACATACTTAAAACATAAGTCAAAACAAAAAAGATGATTCGCTAATTATTTGCAAAATACAGTACCTAGACAAAAGAATCGGAATGCATGTTTTTGTTAATTACGTAAAAACATACATATCAACAACATAT